TCTTATTTCCATTTGATTGGAAAATCTTTTCCCAATGCTTTACCCTGAGGTAATGTCTATCTTTGAAGCTTAGATGTGTTTCTTGTATGCAGCAGAAGGATGGATTCTGTCTTCGTATCCATTCTGTTAGCCTGTGTCTTTTTATAGGTGAGTTAAGACCATTAATGTTGAGGGTGAGTAAGGACCATTGATTGTTGATGCTTGTTTGATTTAGGTTTGTTGTTGGCAGTGGTACTGTGAATATATTAGTTCTGCTTACCCTTGGTTTCTGGTGTAGTTGGATTATCTGTTGCCTACATTTTTGTGGGTGCAGTTACCTTCCTTGGGTTGGTGTTTTCCTTCCAATACTTTCTGTAGGGCCGGATTTGTAGATACGTTTTGGGAAAATCTGGTTATGTCATTAAATATCTTGTGTTCTCCATCTATAGTGATTGAGAGTTTTGCTGGATATAGTAGTCTAGGCTTGCATCCGTGTTCTCTTAATACTTTTAGAACATCTATCCAGGACCTTCTGGCCTTGAGGGTTTCCATGGAGAAGTCAGGTATAATTTTGATAGGTCTGCCTTTATATGTTACCTGTCCTTTTTCCTTCGCTGCTCTTAATATTCTTTCTTTATTCTGTATGCTAGGTGTTTTGATTATTATATGTCGAGGGGTCTTTTTTCTTTGGTCCAGCCTATTTGGGGTTCAGTATGCTTCTTGTACTTTCATGGGCATGTCCTTCTTCAGATTGGGAAAGTTTTCCTCAATGATTTTGTTGAATATGTTTTCGGCACCTTTGAGCTGGGCTTCCTCACCTTCCTCTGTGCCTATTATTCTTAGGTTTGGCCTTTTCATGGTGTCCCACATTTCCTGGATGTTTTGTGTTAAGGATTTGTTGGATTTATGATTTTCTTTGGTCGATGAATCTATTACTTCTAGTTTATCTTCTGTGCCTGAGATTCTCTCTTCCATCTCTTGAATTCTGTTGGTTATGCTTGTGTCTGTAGTTCCTGATTTTTTGCTCAGTTTTTATATTTCCAGCATTTCTTCGGTTTGTGGTGCCTTTATTTTCTCTATTTCAGTTTTCAAGTCTTGAACTGTTTCCTTCACCTGCTTAATTGTTTTTTCTTGGCTTTCTGTACTTTCCTTAAGGAATTTGTTCATTTCTTCCACTTTTTTGTTTGTTTTTTTCCTCCATTTCTTTAAGGGAGAAAATCCCTTAAAGATGATATGATGGTAATTTTTAAGTTGTTCCCTTCTGCTTCCTCTATTTTGTTGTTGTGTTCTGTTCTAGTTGGTGTGGATTCCCTAGATTCTGGTGGTGTCATGTTTGTCTTTCTGTTGTTAGGTGTTTTCTTGTATTGCCTTCTTCCCATAGCTTCTTCCAGTAGGTGTTGATGGGGTCTCCCCTTCTCTCTATGGTACTTCCCCTGTGGGCTTATGTGGGTCAGAGTTTCAATGTCTGTAGCTCTGTGTGGTCCAAGCTCTCTAGGAGGTCTCTCCACAGGCAGGGACCCAGGGATGGGGTCAAGGATGATGATCCAGTAGAAGATGGCCAGCAGGAACTCACAGTGGTCCCACAGAGATAGGTGGATCTCTGGGAGGGGCCTGGGACTCCAGCAGAGGACTGGAAGTGGGGGTCAGAGACCAAGCAGGTGGAAATTATGTGTGGTCCCGCGTGGATAGGCAGGTCTCCTTTGTTCAGAGTTGCTCAGAGAGGTCTCCGAAGTAGGGTGGACTGTTGGCTCTGTCCCAGTGCTCAACCAGAGCGGCAGGACCATGGGTAGGGTAGGGCACAGGGTAGGGGGGGTAGGCTCATGGTGGGGATGGGTGGGGGTGTATCAGAGCTCCAAGGGTGCTCTCGATGGGGACAGGAGACAGGAACAGCAGGATCAGGGGCCAACCCAGGGAGTTCGGGGGAGGGGGGAGGTTGTAGGGGACAGGCAGCCCTGATTGGGCCCAGACTCACCTCTGGCCAATAGCTGGCGGAAGAGGACAAAGGCTGAGCTGGAACTTGGGAAGGTTTTGCAGGATAGTGGGATCTCACTGGAAACTGGAACTCTCCAGCTGAGGCCTCTTTCTTTACAGAGGCCAAGATTTGGGGGTCAAGGATCTTACCCGCAGGAACTCAGAGTGCCATAAAGACATTATTGAGACAACTGAAAAATATTAATAAGGTCTGAACATTGTATAGTAGTGTTATATCTACCTTTAATTCTAGCACTCAGGAGGCAGAGGCAGATGGATCTATGTGTTTCCAGTCAGCCTCATCTGTATAAAGTTCTAGCCAGTTAGGGATACATAGTGGCACACTATCATCTCAAAAAGTTTCCACTTCTGATCTCTGTAGGCACCAGGCATGCATATGGTTCACATGCATGCATGCAGGATATATATATATATATATATATATATATATATATATATAGTTTCAACATTGAATTATATAATAATGGCGCTGGAGAGGTAGCTCACCAGTTAACAACACTTGGTACTCCTGCAAAAGGACCCAGGACCATGTGGTGGCTCACAACCATAGTATCTAGTTCCAGGGGATCTGATGCCCTCTTCTGGTCTCTATACACTGTACATACAGGCATGCAAACAAACACATAAATCTTTAAACTTATATTTCTAATTATGTTGTGGTTACATGTTAATGTACTTTTTAAAAGAAATGTTAAATGAAGTATTTAGAGATAAACATACAACTTACCACTAAGTGATATCTTAAAATTTTACATAGAACATAGATATTCATAGCACTGTAATTCACAAACAACAAAAATACAGATGCTATGGCTGGAGAGATGGCTCAATGGTTAAGAGTACTGACAGCTCTTTGAGAGGACCAGGTTTCAATTCCCAGCACATCACACCAGTGTACATAAAATTAAATGTTTAAAGGTAAATGCTACATACATCTCCAATGATGAGTAAATGCATAAGTGTGTGTGTGTGTGTGTGTGTGTGTGTGTGTATCCTTAAGAAAGAAATTGACACATGAATCTTAAAAGCATTTGTGCTAAGTGAAATAAGTCAGGCACACAGGATTAATATTGGATGATTCTAGTTATGTAAGTAGAACTAAATTTATAGTTACTGGAAATAGAATGGTTATGAGAGGCTGAAAGAAAGAATGTGGAGTTGAAAATTTTGTGGAGGTTTATGGTGATGGTTGCATAGCTATGTGAGTGTACTTAATGCCACTGGAGCAGATACTTTTAATGGTGACATTGTAATTTTAAGATAGATAGATAGATAGATAGATAGATAGATAGATAGATATCCACAATTTCAAAATTAAATCACTTGGTCACAGAAAAGGAAAGATGATAAAAGGGAAGGTTGTCTTCTAAAGATGTAGATGGAGTTAGCAGTGGACTTAGAGAAATCCATTAAAAGGCTCTTGAAATAATCCATATGGTAATGAAAACAGAAAATGGGCAAATCTGAGAATGATTTAAGAAGTACAATTTAGAAACTAATGAGGTAATAATATTTTAGACTGTGCCATACATTGAGTTATTGATATATGGTGGCATGTTAGCCAAATACAGTAGATATGGCTGGACTTAAACATTCATCTGATTAGCATTTGTTTATCTTTCATAACTTGGTTCCTTTGAGAAGCCCTGCCTCACTCTATAATCTCCCCTTACCTCTTACTCTTTCCTGAACTTATCATTGCCTTTGTACCACAATATGTCAAAGTACATGATTTCTTTTTATGCAATGAGGTCCTTCAAAATATAGATAGTAATTATGTTTATGAATCTGTGATACCTTACATAGAGCATGAGATATCTGAGTTTTCCCCATTGTTTTGTGTTCCTTTGTCTTTGTTTTGAAACAGTCTAACCATGTAGCCAAGGCTAACCTGAAATTCTGCATCATTCTGCCTTTTCCTCTGCCTCCTGAGTGCTGGGATTACAGGCACATGCCACCATATCAAAGAACATGGAACAGTAATAAGTGCTCAAGAAATATTTGAATGAAATCAGTAAGTTCCAGGGTATTTAGATTTGGTTTTTTTTTTTTTTTTTTTTTTTTTTTTTTTTTGCACATAGTATTTTGTATTTTGTTTTTCTTTCCAAATCACCCAAAACCCTACTATATTTCAGTAATCTTGTAACTGGTCTTTCCATTTCTGTTTTGTATTCCCTCTGTGTTCACCTGTATGTTAATGCCAGATTAGTGAAATCCCATGCTTTGGAATATCTTTATAAAAAGTTTCAATCCTAGTTGGGCATAGTGGTGCACGCCTTTAATACCAGCACTCGGGAAGCAGAGGCAGATGGGGTCTCTGTGAGTTCAAGATCCACCTAGTCTACATAGAGACTTCCAGGACAGCCAGAACTACATAATGAGACCCTGTCTTGAAAAAAAAATGAAACAAAACAAGAATTTCAGTCCTTTGCTATTATCTAAAGAATATGGTTCAAGTTCACTAGTAAGAAAATCATCTTTGGAGAAGATATAACCATACCCATATCAACATTAAGTAACAGGCTCTGTTTTAGAACAAAACAAAGCTAATAAAAAGTTTAGAGTAGAGGCTGGGCTCAGTGGTTTAAGAGTACTGCCTGCTTTTCCAAAGGACCAGAGTTCAATTCCCAGCACTCACATCTCCCATTGGTTCACAACAGTCTGTAACTCCAGTTCATGGATTGGATGTCCTCTGGTCTCTAAAGTTGCCAAGCACACACATGGCACACAGACATCATGCAGGCAAAACACCCATGCACATGAAATTAAACTAATTCACATTTTTAAAAAATGGTTAGGATAAATGGCAAGTCTTCTAGCACAGTATCTGCTTCATAGCAGAAGTTTGATATATATTTAAAATAATTTGTTGGATATTTAAAGTAGTTTATTTGGATGCCTATTTTTGTTTCACAATAATTCAACTGGAAGCATTGAACTTCATAGCTGTTTCACTTGAAGCACAAAATCAAATTAAACTGAAAAATTCTTTGTTACATGTATTTTCTCTTTTTATACTCTCTTTATAGGTCATATGTAAAGTCAGATGTGCCACTGAACTTGACAAACACAAGTAAGTTTCATGAGTATCAAGTTTTCTGTCTGAAAGATCTAAAGGGTTAATTCATTAATATTAATATTTAGTATCTAAAATATGTAAGTAATTGTTCCGGTTTATTTACTTTATATATATTGGTGTTTTGCCTGCATGAATATCTGTGCATCACATGTATGAGTTACAGACAGTTGTGAGCTGTCATGTGGATGCTAGGAATCAAACCCAGGTCCTCTGGAAGAGCAGCCAGTGCTCTTAGCTGCTAAACCATCTCTCCAGGCCCCCCAAGTAAATACTTTTACCAGTCAGTTGATAAAGGTAAAAGGCTGAGGGTGCCTTTGCATTCACTAGATTGGTTCAAAGGCATTAAGTCCCACAGTTCGTTTTCTCCCCTTAGCTGTGATGCCGTGATGCCCATGCTCATTCCCTCCCTCCCTCTTTCTCCATTTTATCCCCTACCCCTTTCCCACCTCTCTTCCTCCTGCCCCTCCTGGAATCCACATAAGCAAATCTAGTGAACACAGAGTTTCCTGAGCTAAGCACTTTCTGTACTGATTAATCTCAACAGAGCCCACAGTAAATGAGTCAAGAGACATGAGTTTCAAACCCAGTTCTACTAACTCATTTAATTTTTCTATGCTTTGGTTTCCTAAACTATTCTAATTCACTACATAGCATAATTTTAAGATCTTTTTTTATTTGAAGGTATATAACTATTCTTTCTATTATTTGGTTTAACATGCCACCAAATGTTGTAGCACATGCTATAATCCCAATACTGACGAAACTAAAGGAGGAAGACAATTTTGAGCTGCATAGCAAGACCCTGTCAAATGTTTTTTTAATGTAACTAAAATTTTTCAAACTAATATTTTTTGCTTCACTTATATACTCAACAGTTTTCTTATTACCAATTATATATTGCATTATTACTGATTACAGATTCATCATGTGTAAATTATCTCCAAGGGCAGACAGTTTGTGATGTCTATTGTTGAAAGCAATCCGAAATAGAAAATGCTAGAATTTGAGGGGAGAAATGTATTTGACCTGGGATTATTTTCACAGAGATCTGGTACCTGCTAGTTGGTACAAATGGCTACAATTTAAACGAGTTTTTATGGTGTGTGCTTGGGAACTACATATTCTGTTCCTATATTCTTTATTGGTCATATTTCAAATACGTTTGCTATAGATAATCAGGCCATAGGCTCAAACATTATTTAAAACACATTTCCTACTAGGTGGTTGTGGCATGTTCCTTTAATCCCAGCACTCAAAAGGCAGAAGCAGGTAGATCTCTGTAAATTCAAGGTCAGCCTGGTCTACTGAGAAAGTGCCAGGACAGGCTCCAAAGCAACAGAAAGAAACCTTATCTTGGGAAAAAATAAATAAAATACTTCCCATAGCTCTTAAAATACTGTGGCTTGCCTTTAATCCCAGCACTCTAGAGTCAGAGGCAGGGAGATCTCAGTTTGTGGTCTACAGAGTGAGTTCCAGGACAGGCAAAGCTACACAGAGAAACCCTGTCTGGAACAAGCAAAACAGCAAAAATTAATACCATGATAAAATTAATTAGGCACAGCACATTAATTTTCTAGACAAATTTTAAAAACATGGTAATTATGAGAATGTGAAGGTCAATGCAAATACACTCAGTAGTTATAAAAACAAAAACTTCCTGATTGCCTGAAATGGTGTTAAAATGGTTCAATATTTTCTTCAGTTCTATAGGTCAGCATTTATTTTAACACATGAGATTATTTCTAAAGTAAAATTTTAGAATCTGTGCTATTTTGAAATAGTTCATATACTAAGTTCATAAGGGTAAACATAAAGTCACTCTGAGAGATTACTAAATTTGTATGTAATGAAATTGTATTTTAGGCTGAAAGCATTCTTGTACCTGAAATAACACTAAATCCTTAATAATTTTATAAACATCAAATAATTTTTTCTTTCAGAATTCTACTGCATTTGGGTTTTATACTGGCAAGCCTCCTCTTCTTAGCAGTGAACTTGACCTGTGCAATGCTAGTTCATGGAGATGTCCCAGAAAACCAGTTGAAATGGACTGTGTTTATTCGAGCATTAATTAATGATAGCTTGTTTATTCTCTGTGCCATCTCTTTAGTTAGTTACATATGCAAAATTACAAAAATGTCATCAGCAAATGTCTACCTCGAATCAAAGGTAAGTCTAGTTTCAAATCCTAATCCTTTGAATCATATTTTAATAAGAAATTGTGTTGCTTCTTTGAATAGGTACTCTAAAGGCTGTCACATTTTTAGCATAAAAAAAGAGTTGTAGCAATTAAAATGTGTTCAAATTTTGGTTGTGGGCCTTAGCTTAAAACAGCTAAGCCATTACTCTAGCCCAGAATTCAGCTCTTACTAAACTGTAATTGAAGAATTTTTTGTGATCATGCATTAGAGACTGGTCAGATGAAATAAACCCAAACAAATAAGAATAAATTAATAAAAAAGCATCTTATGCTCTCTGGGGACAATTCACAAAGTCATGGTGGTCCCACATTTGACATATGTCATGGGCTTTCCTACAGTACAGGCTCTCACAAAACTAGATTGTTTACCTTTATAGCAAGGTTGGGAAAGCACCAAGATCCACACGTGATCTGTGTCCAGCAGACCTCAAGGGGTTGGTGCTGTTAAGACCTAAAGTTCTTGTGAACTTGTCTAAAACACAGAAGCACCTCAGCAGGCCTTCCAGCGGCTCCACATGGACCAAGTGTGTCTGAGAAAGGTTCAAGCATACCTCCTTATTGAGGAGCAAAAAATTGTGAGCATGTTGAAGGCACAAACACAGAATCAGAAAGTGAATAAATAGGAAGCTTTCCTAAGTAGTAAAAATCAAGGCATGTCCTTAAAAAAAAGAAAAACATCTTATAAAACTGTAGAAAGAACTTGACTTTGTCCAGTAAAAGCAATAGTATTGCCATTAAAAAAACTTACCAGATAATGTGGGGGTACACTTGGGTTAGCAGTGTAGATATGCCATGAAGATAAAATACCACTTATTTGCATGATGGTTTAAAAGGGTTGCTTCACTCTATATTATGAAGTCCATATGATACTTGAAACAGTCATGCCTTGTTTTTTTTTTCTTGTTTTGAAAAATAAGTAGATGTTAATTCATTAATAAAAAGCCATGGAAGTGTCTACTGTCGTTGGATAGTGAGTGTCTTACCACAGTATGTGTGGCATTGAATGTGGGTTTGTAGTTATGTGGTATTTGGGGTGTGGAATGAAAATGTATGTATGTATGTATGTATGTATGTATGTATGTATGTATTCTGAAGAACTTAAACAATTTTATCTTCTCAGACTAACAGCTACATTCAGAACATTATATGTTATAGAGAAAGTAAAACCAAATTTAGAAAATTGGTTCTCTAGAGGAATGCTACATACATACATGTATACATACATGCATATCTCCAGCCTTTAAAATCACTTCCCCAAAAGAACCTCTGCTGAACGTAGGCAGCACATCATCTTGCTTTTAGCTTCTCCTTGTAAAATCACAAGGCTCAGTGTGTGTGTGTGTGTGTGTGTGTGTGTGTGTGTGTTTGCTCTCCTGTAATAATATGCAGTAATGGCCATTTTGATCAACCAGTGTTAATGAGCTGCTACCTCTTTGGTTTTACATCAGTTCTTGCTGTCCCTAAGAATGTTTTCTCAAGGCTCAGATTGGTCCTTTGCTTTCTTCTTTCTATTCTTCTTCCTTTACACACTTTATGATAATAATCTCTCAGCCAAATCTTATGTGCCTTGCTTTTTAATGACACGTGGTATGCTACCTGTCTGAACTATATTATCCAGAATGCCTTTCCCTTTTCTGGAGCTCTCTTTGTGTTCCTCCTTTCCTCACCTAAAAGACCTAATTGAATTCAGCCTCTTCTCTCAATCTCCAGAATCAAGTCTAGAAAACTTGACTATCAGACTTACCCTGAAATTTTGGGTTACTCAGAAAATCTCATTTCCTATGAGCTGCCATTTGTGTGCATTGTGGGGGGGGCTGCCATTTGTGTACATTGTGTGTATATGTAGGGGGCTGCCATTTGTGTACATTGTGTGTATATGTAGGGGGCTGCCATTTGTGTACATTGTGTGTATATGTAGGGGGCTGCCATTTGTGTACATTGTGTGTATATGTAGGGGGCTGCCATTTGTGTACATTGTGTGTATACGTGGGGGGCTGCCATTTGTATACATTGTGTGTGTATGTGGGGGGCTGCCATTTGTGTACATTGTGTGTATATGTGGGGGGCTGCCATTTGTGTACATTGTGTGTGTATGTGGGGGGCTGCCATTTGTATACATTGTGTGTGTATGTAGGGGGCTGCCATTTGTGTACATTGTGTGTATATGTAGGGGGCTGCCATTTGTATACATTGTGTGTATATGTAGGGGGCTGCCATTTGTGTACATTGTGTGTGTATGTAGGGGGCTGCCATTTGTGTACATTGTGTGTATATGTAGGGGGCTGCCATTTGTATACATTGTGTGTGTATGTAGGGGGCTGCCATTTGTGTACATTGTGTGTATATGTAGGGGGCTGCCATTTGTATACATTGTGTGTGTATGTGGGGGGCTGCCATTTGTGTACATTGTGTGTGTATGTGGGGGGCTGCCATTTGTATACATTGTGTGTATGTGGGAGTGGGGCTTTCAGTAAAATGAAGCCATTTCCCCTTTTGTGTCTTTGTCAGAGTTTAGAATGTAAACACATTTGTCTCATGAATTGACATGGGTAAGAGTAAAAACAGGAATAATTGAAGGTCAAGGATCATGCTGCCTGGATTTTACTAACTCAGAATTTAACCTCTATAACTCTTTCCATAGCAGCGCTATAATGATAAGACAGAAATGTGTGGGAAATCATGGCATCTGAATGGACACTAAAAATACAAAGATTAGCTGTTATGGGGGGGGGGAGTCAGACAGGGTTTCTTTGTGTACACCAAGCTGTTCTGGAATTCTCTATAGATCAGGCTGGCCTTGAATACACAGAGATCCTCCTGCCTCTGCCTCCCGTGTGTGCCACCACCTGGGAGCTGTTATTATTTTTATCATTATGTTTTGGCATAATTTATAGATGACTTATTAGAGAATTGAAAGAAAATTTTTCAGATAACTATTTAGGGAAAAGTTGTTCTTTGGTATTTTTGTTTGTTTTGTTTTAGCTTCCCTAAATATTGTTCATTAGCCAGTTTTATTTCCACCAGACCAGCAGTCTCAGCCTGACTGATAAAGCTTGGCAATAAGAAAGCATATAATTTTACAGTTTTAAAAGAAACAGGAGTGCACTGCATGTAGTTCAGTGGTAAGATGCTTGTTCAGTGTACACAGCCTTGGGTTCCATCCCCAGCACTGAAGCAAACATGCAGCAATAATGCTGCAGTGATATTTATATTTAGAACTCAGAATAAATATAACTTTGTGTCCTCCTTCCTCTACCATAGAGCAGTAAGGAATTTTCTCATGTTATTAAAAATTTATGACTATATAACATTGTATTATATATCAAAGTTTAAGTCTTGTTGGATAGCCCTTGAAGTCATTTTTTTTAATATCAACCTCTCAATTGTTATTTTTCACCACAAAATTGGAGTAAGATTGTAATTGCATCTCCAACTTCCTTTACAGAACCCATAAGTGTCTTTTATGTTCTCTTTTTTAATTACCTAATTTAGATTTCGAGCAGCTATACCAGTACTGTTGTTTGATTCTCTTTTTCAAAGAAGACTTTTACTTGCTTTTAAAACAGTCATTACTGAGAGAGACAGGGGTTGTGGCACATGCCTTTAATCCCAGTACTTGGGAGACAGGTGCAGATGGATCTGCTAGTTTGAGGCCAGCCAGGGCTGTGTAATGAGGCTTTGCTATTTTATAAAAAAGTAATAGTTACCTAGAATTGGATTATTTATTTCTGTTCTTTCAATGTTTTCCTTTGTTTGATTTTTCACTTATTTATATACTTACGGCTGCTACCTTGTTCTTTATCTATGTGCGTATATAAACTATAAACACTTCATTCTTTTATAAACTAATACAATTAGAACAGTGTGTTTCCAAGAAATATTTTTGGCAGTTTTCCATAACCTTAAAATATGATAGCAACATCACTCATTTAACAAAACTGGGAGAGGCTGGAGAGCCAGCATAGTGGTTCAGGATGCATACTGCTCCTGTAGAGGACCAGAGTTCAAATCCCAGCACCCATGTCAAGCAGCTCACAACTAAAGCCCCAGGAGGACCCAATGTCTCTGTTCTCAACAGACACCTGCACACATATGCATACACACAAAACACACATATACATAACATAAAAAGTAAATATTTAAAGATTAGGACAAAAACTAAGCTGAAAGAACACAGCCAGAGGCACCACATTTCCTGACCTCAAATTATACTACAAAGCCAGAGTGATGTGGCTTTCTTTGTGCTACTCAAATAAAAGCAAACACATAGATGAATGGAGTATAATAGAAGACTCAAAGATAGACCAACATAGCTGTGGACATCTAATTTTTAACAAAGTTAATTTTTAAATGCACTAAAAGAAGAGATATAGTCAACAATTTCTGAGTAGAACCCACTCATACAGGAAGTAGCACCAAGAATTGACAAATGAGGACCATGTGAAATTTAAAAAAAAAAACTGCACAGAAAAAGAAACTATTATCAGCAGAAGAAGGAAAAAAAAAAGAAACAAGCAGCCTACAGGACAAGAGAAAATCTTTGCCAGTTATAACTGAGACATAGATTTCATATCTAGAATATATAAAAACTGCAAGAATTTAATGCCAGAGAAACAAAACTGATGGTTGATAAATTGGCCAATGATATTTTTCAAAAGAATAAATAAAAATGGTCAATAATTTTTTGAGTGTTCAACATCTCTAGCCATCAGAGAAATGTAAATTAAAACAACTTTGAGATTTTATCTCACCTCAGTAAGAATGGTAAACATCAAGAAAACAAATGGCAAACACATGCTGGAGAGGATGTAGGGAAAGAGAGACCTTTATACTCTGATGGTGCAAGTGGAAGCCATGGAGGTTAGCCATTATGCTAATTAGTGTAGAGGTCCCTCAAACAAATACATCTACCATATGACCCAGCAATATTTCTTCTGGACATATACCCAAAAGATGCCATATCCTGCTG